ATTGTTATACGTTTGTGAAAGATTTAAGGAAATAAAAAAGGAGAATGTGAATAAAATACGATTAAAATCTGAATAGGAATGTTTCGGTCCATCAAGTCGCATTAATGATTGTGAGAGGTGGGGAAAGAGGGATAGGGGGAGATAGAAAGGAAAATTTTTGTTATTTTTTCTCATTGTTCACTGATACAGGACAAATCAATTGCACGATCGCGATTGATACGCGAGGATGATAATGATATGAGCGATGAGGAGACGGAAGGTGGCAGGTCAGTTAATCATTTCACGATTTATTAGCGCTTCCCAATAGGACCACGAAGCACGTGGCATATTTTTGTGGTAAGCAAGCAGATCATTTCTTCTTTTTAAGATTAACGAAAAAATATAATAAGAAAAAGTGATGGGAGACATGAAAAAAATTATTAAAGTAGGTAAGAAATGTTCTTTTCTTGGAGATTTAAGATAATATGTAACTGATGGTTAGTGAACTGATATCGAGAAACGAAAGGGCAGCAAATTGCAAGTTTCTCAAAAAAAATGTAAAAAATTGAGTTAGAGAGTGAAGAATCTAGTGGGAAGAAGTGGAAAATTCTGTTGCGCAGGCATGAGAATCAATAAAATTGCTGTTCTGCATTGATTTACAAACAGTAGGTTCTTGAAAAGTTATAAAAAATGCCATGGTTTGGAGAAAATGATAAATTTGGGCACAGGGGGCACCATTTTGAACGAGGGGAAAAATTTGGACAAGTAACGGGGAGGCTGAGGTTGTCTATCTTCTTCTGCAGGAACCTAAGTACGGCGCTGGAACAATTTTATATATTTTAGTGAAGATTATAACTAACATTTCTTCGGATTCTGGTAAGAAGTTGAATCATTTGGCGAGTATTTTCAGATTTTATTCGGCGAAAGGTCTAGCAGCAGAGGAAGATGAACGCCGCCGCATCGAGCATTTCGACTTCCTGGCCCACGAAGAAGAAGGTAAATAATCGTTTGCGAAGCGAAGGTTTTT